TATCCCAGTCACAAACATGTTGCAATCATCCGACCAAATGAAATGTTGATGCAATACGTGTCTGTATCATTCGTGATGAAATAATATTTGCTCTGAAATGGTGGTCTCTGCGACCACTAAATGTCTTGATAATAAAAACAGAGCTGTTCATTTCTACGGTTTCGAAGCCAGGGCTCCTGTCGACGTTTGTCGTCTGTGTATAGTCTCATTTCTTTTCCGGTGTAAATCGTTTAGCTGTGCCTATAGAAGGAACCAAGTAATTGCTGGGCTGAATACAATATAATGCAATCAGTCCAAATTAGAGATTGCTCTTTCAGAGTGCGGAACAGTTGCATTTTATTTTGTTATAAAAATACTGGATTGGACGGACAGCTTTCCTGGGTTTGTTGCAAATGAAGACGTGTAATTGTCCACCAGTAACGGGTGAATCTACGTGCTTTCAAGTATTTAGAACTGTTGATCAATGACTCATGGGCCAGCTCAGGAGAAGAACCATGCAGTTGGTGTGGAATGATCCCCATCACCGAGTTCGCACAACGCAAATGGCCTTCAGACCGTCCGCCCAAACAGCACTATTCCCACTGACTAGCATCGACCCCATCGGACTCGCCTGATGACACAAAATTGGTACTTAAGTACCTCGGATTTTACAAGGAAAAGACGGTGATCCACAGAATGTCTCCTGGCAATCATTACCATTACATTCCAGGAACAGCAACCATTACTCCTCCGTTGGGATTCCGGGAATGAAAAACTTTCCAGTACCCGATACTCGTTTGTGACAAAACCAGATCGTTGCTCATTCCTTCGGTGACTGGTTTATCAGACCAAAATCATTTATCAAGGGCGTGTCCTGAGTGAGTTGGTTTTTAACGCCGCTTTGAGCAGTATTCCAGCCATTACACCAACGTGTCAGCTTGACGTGTGAGGAAAGCCCGAAGTTTGTTTGTTTGTATAGGTGAATGCAGCTAAGAGCAACCCATGCTTGTAAAAAGCGACAAACGGGATCGTCTGATCAGGCACACTGACTTGTTCGATGCATGTAATCGTATCCCAACTGCATAGATCGATGCCCATGACGTCAATCAATAGATTGTCTGTTCCAGACTCGATTATCTACAGTCCGCCGTCTTATAGCTGGAATATTGCTGAGTGCGCCGTTAAAAAACATGCAAAGAAAACTGCTGCGTAAAATAACATTCATATTAACGCACTACAATAGAGCGAACGTGGAAGGTCGTGACAACTTCCGCATGTTCCTACCTTCATCAATCTCGCATTACTAATAACTCTACTGGATGTCTACGTGAGATCAATAATTCAAGTCTCAATCTCAAACAAATCTTTCAACCCTGACAGTGCCTGTCAGACTCGCCAATCTTTCCAGCTGCATTGACGTTTTGACTGCAGCCGATACGAATTGGGCTACTACAGTGAAGCAGACCTCTGCAAATAGGTGAAGTATTTTAGCAATGCCCTTAGAGCTCTTCATCTCAAACACACATGTCCGTCAGTATCGTTTCAACCTATATGTACCTGCCTCGGCTAGATAACCCCCGACAGCATGTATAACAGACGTCTCCGTTCTGGCAGGGAGCCAACGGTCTTGAGTTTGTTTTATCACACAATTACAAGGAAGCCCGTGGCGGTAATTGCTGACTACAGCACACTGGCCAATATAAACTGGAAAATGAATGTATACACGACACTAACTTACAACATGACATTTGGACAACTCACCCTTCATGTCTAGTTCTTATTGTCTTGGCAACAGAACACAGGGCAGTATTTCAGGTACAAGTCAATCATGACTATTTCTTCAGTAACACATACACAATTTGACAATAATTATGTTTTTGGTGGTAAGGAGACAGAATGGATTGGGTGGACTGGCTCTTGAAGTTTAATAAGGGGCCAAGGTACACTGGATTGTCTGGTCCAAATATAGTAAGTATTTGATGTTAACACCTGCCTGTTCATTAAAAACACCCTCATAAACAGCCCACACTCACATTTTATTGTCTGAAGACCAATTCTAGCCCGAATCTTCAAGCAGTGAGGTAGAAGACACAATCTGCGAGGTTACACATTATAACCCCAGCCCAACCCAAATCATCATAACACCCTACATATATTTGTTTGATTTACAGATCCAGCTACCGAAAAACTGAAAATTCAGAAGAAGAAAAATCACAATTACAAGGTCTTTTTAATACTACAAACAGAACAGGTCACTATGACATAAAAAATGATCAGATTTTTAGGACTAAAAAACTTTTTCCCCAAGTCAAATATAATTGGTAAACCCTTAATAAATGGTCACATCAACCAATCCATTCAACTAAAATATCGCATTCAGATTTTAGATATAACACTTACATTTCATAAGGACCAACACCAGGCCAAGATGTTATTATCCCTACCAAACTAAATCGAAATTGAAGATGAAACAAATCCTGTACCATGCATTTTTTACCTTTTCTTTCTGACCTAAAGACCAAACATTTCAGTATCAGAAAACAGAAAGCCAGCCTTAGTTGGATTGTTCCTGTGGGTGTAGAATGTGCTTCACATGTTATTGACCCGAGGTCTTATTCTTGCAAACCCAGCAGTATATACAAAAAGTCAATTATAGCCTTAAACTCTGGAGAAGGTGGACAGAGTACAGATTACCTAGGATACAAGATGTTCCCACAACCCAAGGCAAGGGGAATGATGTTGATGAGGTGGCCACAATGTCAGAGAGACTGCAATAACTAGTCTGTATCAATGTGACATCATACTCCGTCAGTGTGGGCAGACAGGTATACACCTCTGGACTTCATGTGCCAGTCAAGACATCTCAACACTTAGAGTAGCAGTATCTTCCCCCTTTCAATTACTTAGGACTTCACTCCCACTATCACAGACCTGTCAACCCTCCCACATTTTGCGGGAGACTCCCGCAATTTGATGAAATCTCCCAGTCTCCCGCAAGATGGACTATTTCTCCCGCAAAACAGAATTCTTCATTATTTAAAAAAATCGCCTCATTGTCCCGTGAGTGAAAACAATGAACGGGAAGTTTGCGTCCTGATCTGTCCGGTAGGCTCCCGGATTAGCGACCCTTATCACAGCCACCCGCAGGGGGACCCAGATGGGCCTTTGTCCAGTAATCAAATGGTAATTAATTTCATATGGTGAACGATTGAACAATGTAAACTGTTAAGAAAACTCGGATAGTCCTAACAGGTGCCTGAAGGGTTGAACTTGAAATGAAAAATCAGCCAAGTATTCATCACTTCATGAAATGAACTGTTGTCTTCATGTTCTTAGCGTGTTTATTCTTCCATAATTTAAGAACGTAGATACATATGGCCGGTCCAGTTATACATGACTTTATTGGTTATCAGATTTGTCAGAAACTTTGTTAAAACATCAACATACCTCAAAGTTACGTCATTGAACTCTTGGAAATGAAAACAAAATATGTCCTGCAAGCGCCGTCTTCAGAAACAACACTATGCGTGATTGGTTGATTCGGTAGTCGAAATAACAATGAGTTACACGATCAGGCTTCCTCACAGCAGGATTTCAAAGTCAAAGTTTAAAGTGAAACTTACAAATTTCCTTTTGACTGACATCGTGACTTGTGTGCACAGAAAATATCAAAACAGAACTTTATCAAATTTTGCGAGAATGTATCATGTGATTATTTTACACGATTTGATTGGCTAATAGTTTGCTTGCGTCCCAGATCTGCAATCTAATTTGCATACAACAGTACTAGTCAACCAATGAGATTAATACACGCCAAGGTCAGAAAGGTCAACAACGACAACGAGACTCATTTCATTCATAAATTGTAGTAAAACGTAATAGTACTTCCAAATATGGCATACATTTCTTGGAATGGAATAACGTGAACATTTCTAGGAAATTTAAGAAGCGAAGTAATGGGACTGTCAACAGACTACCGCAGACAGAAAAAAACCCAGTATATCTTATTGAAATTAAGGGCGATGATGTTGCGTCAGGATAAATGCATTTGATATTTCTTTGGCGAATTTTGTAACCAACATCGCGCCAAATACTCAGAAAACCTGCATCGTAACGAAGCCTGACAACTGGTCGGATTGAACACGTCGTCAACTGGTCAAGCTACTGATTGTGAAATTTCAATATCTGTTTGCGTTTATCTGAGATGATCTTTGAACGAAAGTTATATGGGTAGATTGTGCTGGGTTTATTTTTGGAGGAGGAAAATGCAAACGGAAATTAAGCAAGCTGTACGTATAAGAAACTTATTGATTATTTATTGTTTCAAAATATTTGGTTTTCTTTGTAACATTATTAAAAATAATAGTTGGAAATTATCTTATCCACTATCTTAAAAATCTCCCCCTTTGGAGGCAAATCTCCCCCATTTTGAAGTCAAATCTCCCACATTGTCATGATGAGGGGTTGACAGGTCTGCTATCAAACTACTTCAGTGAGCCTAAACCTTAATGAAATACTGATTCCAGCAATCATTGCTTTTGTTGTCCACAAGCCAAGAAGTGATACGCTAATGAAATCAATAAGCTTTGCCAATCTTATCAGGTCAATTGACTTTCTTCAGCTAATGGCAGTATTATAGCATTCTATTGTGTGACAGATATTTTGTCTCTTTAAAAGAGTAAATACTTTTCTATTTCATATTGACTGGCTATATGTACACGCTGGCATGGAATATCACCCTATACTGTCATGTTTGAAATTTAATTGTTCCAATGATGTTACTAGCAATAGAATTCTTCCATCAGCTGGAACCAGTGAGTCTGTACAGGTAGGTGCGTGCTATTTTACCCGGTTGTCAGAAATATTCCAGGCACATGGCAGTTTCAAAACTTGAAAGGTAAACCATTGATTGACAGCATGAGCTGCCATACATCGACCATTCACATGACCTGCAATGGACAAGGTCCCACATTGTAACGTTCCAACTCTCATCTAGAACACCAAGAACCACAGAGTCAACATTTATTTTACACTTTATTAACATTTTTACATCCAAATCTGCTGAAGATGTACTCATGTTTCCGCACACATGGCTGCAGTCACCAGCCATCTGTCCATCTTGTTAGCCTACATCTGCTGGGATGTCGGGACAACATTGACTACACATGGAGTAGTCGATACATGGTAGGAGGGGCTATATACAAGGGCTGTCTGTACAAGATATATACACTACTATAATACACCAGTGTACAATTCAATATATACACACACCCACTGCCAACCCGACAGGGGCAAGATGGCACCAACAATAAGTACAATAACAACATGTCATATGCAGGGCTCAGTCTAGAGGCTGGTTAAGATAACAGAACCCTGGTTCCAGAAGATGTCCTACATAGTGGTTAAATTAAATAAGCTTCTAAAGACAGATTTTCATTCTCAAATGGAGATTTTCAACAAAACTGAAACTTAGCAATTTCCTAAAGAGCTTCATACAAGACAATCCAATCGCTTTTAACTGTTTGAAAACAAAATCTAACAATGTCCTAAAATGTGGCCATCTTACAGACTAGGTACTCAAGGACAGAATTGCATTCTCATATGGAGGTCAAATAAAAAGACAATTTGAAAGACCTCGATTAACAACAGGACTTCATGAAAGAAAATCCAATTGTTACTAGAAGCTGTTCCAGGAGAAATCTTGTACCACACATAACAAAGTTTCATTTGTAAATGTATACATGTATTAATTTGCAAGCCATTAACAATTCATCTCTGGGCAAAACAGGATCTTCACCTATTACTTCAGACAGGCGTTCAACCAACTTCAAATCAAATGCAATATGCATTAGCAGATACTGGTTTTTGCCTGGCTTCTCTCTTGAATGAGCAGTGAATATAACACAGCAAATGATGTACATGCAACACACAATAGCTTAACCTCCTTACAATCTAAGTGATGATCCATCTTAACATTCTAAAGTGAGAGCCTATGTAGAAAGTGCGCAAACCAAATTACAACTATGATTGACAACAATAAAAGAAAAACAAATTTTAAAATACCAGTGAATCAAACATTAAAAATCTATCAAGCGAAAATGTGTAAATACAGGAGTTGGATCAAACTCCAACAAAGCCCCCTGCATAAGAGGCCTTAACTTTGTGATAAAGTAAAGAAGCAATGGGATTTCTGAACATGACCATTCTTGCTGGATCATTATGATATCACTCAATTAGTAGAACATTTAATGTTTACATAAACTCTACGCACAAAAACGATTTAAAAAATGGTCAAAACCTAATTTTGTCAGCAATTTGGATATTCAAGTGCCAAAAAGTGTCTTTCTAATATGAAGTATCTCATCACTTGAAGTTGTTAACTTGTGAGTAAACTGGAAACTTCAATGCAGGGTAGAAAGATAAATAACAAGAAATAAGTAACAAATACACAATGCACCAAAACATGTCTACAGACAAAACACACAACTTAAACAAAGACAGTCAAAAAACATAATAGCACTTACAATGTATATGTGAACATTTAGCCAATTGGTGCTGCTACCAAAATCTTTCATCACCTTATTGTACTGATGTTATTTCTGTAATAATTTTCACCACCAGAGCTTCCATCTATTTGACAACAAACCACAAGAACCAGTGAAAATGAAAATTTCTAATTTCAACAGACCTTAACAAGTTCAACGAAAGTGTTACAACATATAAGTGTAAATCTCTTATTAGTGTACTAGGGTAATATTTTCAAACCCTGATTGAATAATGACAGTGTAACTTGTTGCTAGGATATAAATTGATAGATATTCTTGGCAATAATTTAAATTCTATGGCAGAATGATAAATGTAAGAAATATTCATGGAAAGGATGATAGCAATCACTATAAGCAAAAGCAATGAAAACCTACTGATGGTGCAGGGATAGTCACACTACAACTAGAGCAACATCATGACAGGTCCTGTGCACTACGTTATTCCCCCTGATGCAACATATGTAGAACCACAGCTTCCTTAGAAGAAGATACAATGTGTGTATACACTTCCACAAAAACTGTACAGTTGATAACACATATTTCCACATCAGATTTTTTTGGGTCATTTTTGCCATTTTAGATCGTTTTTTTTTGTTGAGACTACAAAAGCCACAAGGCTGAAATGCAATATTATTCATGGCTTATCCACATGAAAATCACATCGACACAGCAAATCCTGCTTCAAATTTCAGGTCCATCCTGCAAAGCAGTGTAGTTTGTGAGCTCAGGCCCGTTACTGAGAGTAAGGACACTGTTGCAAGCTTCTGCTGCCGCTGCTGCAGCCTTAACCTCTGTAGGTGCAGGAACAACTGGACTTACATCCATTGCCTCTTCTCCATTCATAGGCAAGTCTAAACGAGCTACTTTCTTGGCAAATGAGTAGTTCTCTATGGGAAACAATTGTCTTTCTTTCCTTTTTCTCGAGCTCACACGAACTCCACTTGAGCCTGGTGCCCTTCGTGGAGGCCCAGTTACAGTCACTGGCTGTTTGAACTGTGGTACTTCAATCTTTTTCCTCAACTGTGCCTCAAGCTCTGAGGCAGGTTTATAGCCTGGAGGAACTGCATCAGCCAGAGAAGGAGGCTTGTGAACAGTAGCAGGTTTGGGAGCATGAGAGGGGACCGAGTGAGAGGTAGTGATCACAGATTTATTCACAATATTTAAAGGTTTCGACAGCACTATAGGTTTGCTCTCATTTACAGGCTTGGGGCCTTCCAGTTGTTTCCTGCGCTTGTTGAACTCCTGCCAAAGACCCTTCTTCCTGTCCGAGAGCTTAATGGACCTTGGCTCCAGAACCTGAGGCTGGGCCACAGTTGTAAGGATTTCAGTGTCATCAGGATAGTGCTGGTGGGTAAGGAAGTTCCTCAAAGAGAAGAACTTCTTGCAGCTGCAGCACTTGATACACAAGCTGCTCTTTTTCTGGTACAGATCCAAATGAATGTCACCATCTTGGGTCACAGATGGATGCGAGTTTGTTGGTTTGGGGTCCTTGTGACGAATCTCAATGATCTTCTTATCAGTATCACTCACATTTTTCTTATTGCCCTTTTTGAAATGAATTAAACCTTTGATCTTCACCTTCAAGGGCCCCATCTTTTTCAGCCTTGATCTTCTGTTACCGTTCAGTGGAGGATTGGCCCCTCTAGATCTTGAACCACTAAACCTGCGTCTATTTGAAGGTGAGGAATGGTTTTCTTCCTCTGAGTCCTGTTCAACAACTCTGGCTGACTTTTTCTCTTGAACAGCCTCTTCCAAGAGCTCAACCTTTCTCTTTTTCAATTCTTCTTTCGCAAGTTTGAGTTTCTCAGCATCTGACAACTTAGTCTTCTTTTTCCCATTTGGACTTGCTGGTGGTACAGCCGTTTTCTTGCCATTTTCACAGACAACTTCTTCCTCTTTTTCACTCGTCTTCTCCTCCACAGGTTCTGCCACAACACAACTCTCGGTGTTGGTTTCACCCTTGAGTAGTTCCAAGAAATTGATCTTCTTATGCCTCAGACGCTTTGACTCTAGTGGCGGAGGAATCTCTTTGGCTATTTCTGTCACAGGCAAGGGCACATCTTGGCTTGGAGTCACCGCTGGTATTGGTATTGTTATTGGAACTAAATCCATCCTGAAAGAAAAAAAGCAACTGAAGTTCTGGTAATAATAACAAGAACTTACACAATATAGTAATAATGTCGTCGCTAAATTGTTGGAAGTTGGCCGGTGAAGAGCTTTTTATCCATAAAGCTAATAACTGCTTACTCCATTTCTTATATGGCAAAAGCAATTCAAATATCACTGGGTCAGATACTTTATTAAAAAGTCTCTCAGGCAGGAATTACTATGTCACAGTAATCAACCATTCTTTACCATTCTTTACAATTTAACTTCTCAAATATGTTGGTATCAAAAGTATTTTTCTCACATGTTCGAAAAAATAGCAATATCATTACAATTACAATGACTCCTCAATTGACTAAAATAATTCCTAATCCCAAATAAGGATCAGACATTACTGAAATTCTAAAAAAACCTTCAATATTAACTTACTTCTCCACAGCAGCAGTTCTTGGCTGAGCCTTAGGCTTGATCTTCTTCCTCAGTACACCAGCAGTAACCTTGACTGGTTGACTCTCTCCAGAGTAGAGTGAAGCTAAAGAACCATCAGAGGACAATTCAGGGTCATCACGACGGACCACTTCATCCAATTTCGACATCCTTGGCTGAGGGTTTACATAGTATCCAATCAGATTCTTGGCATAATCTTTTGAAACAATCAATGTGCTCTTAGAATTGTACGCTCGACCATACTGAACCAAAAAGTACCTCTGCATTTCTGAACAATTAAGAACATCAATTCCCAGCAGCTGACATCGTTTCTTCAGGATGCCTGTATCTTTAGCTGGCAAGATTTGTTTATGGATGTCAACAAGTCTGACAAATGGTTGGTTTTCAATCATGATAGCCGGAAGGTCATTCCAGAACATTGTGACCGTCACAATCCAAGGAGTGTTATAGTCTGATGCTGCAGAGGTAGCAGTGGTAGTAGAAGTTGTCATAGATGGTGCAGAGCTGTCCATGACAGCAGCATCTGGAAACAAGTCAGACTTATCAAGTCTGAAGTCATGTCCCAGTAGGTCAAATGGCTTCTCAATATCCCCAATTGTTCCCAAATCTGCTTCAAGCAAAGCTCTAACAGGACTTTCACTTGGATTGACTGTGGGAGGCACCACAACTTGAGATGGTGCCGCAGTAGTCTCAGATGTATCTGCTGGTGGTGCAGGTGATGCAACTGTTGTAGTTGTAGTTGCAACTGCTGCAGCTGGATCTGTTGTGCTTGCAGGTGCTGTTGCAGGCTCATTTTTAATCTCAAACCGATCCTTACTTTCTGTGTCAAACTCAGAAGCAGCACTAGAAACACTCTGCCTTCTCTCAGTTTCATCTGATGTACTTACACCATCTACAGACTGCTGGTCAGACAGGTCTATGTTATCCACTGACCTGTCATAGTTCTGGTTGTTGTCCAGATTATACTTCCCAGCAGCAGAATCAATGATTTCCTCCGGTGTTGTCTCAACATCCTTCACAGCATCCAGTAGAATGTTCACCTGGTCTGGCGTCAAGGTCATGTTTTCACCCATGAAACTGATACCAACAGAGTCCTCAGAAGGGCTGTACAGGTCCACAGTGTCAGATAATGAGGAATCATGAGCAGACCCTGGAGATCCAAGACTATCATTCTCCATGCTGAGAATCGTACTGATGATCCTACTATCCATATCAACGATGTTCTCCATGGTAGGTGCTTGTGGTGAAGACTGAGATGACTGTGTCTGGGAAGCAGTACTTGGAGTACTGCCTCCACTGTGGAGAGTTGAGGACAGTCCTGCACCATAGTATTTCTCACTGATGGATAAACCAGCTTTCCCTCTGCGTTTGATTGCTTCAATGTCTGCATCAGTTAGATGTGGAACAATTATGTCTCCAGGTTTGGGAGCTGGAATTATGATCTTATCTGTGGGAGGGGGTGGTGGCAAGTCTGTGCTGGCTCTCCTTCTGCTTCTTGAGCTCTTGTTCAAATAATAGACATAGTCATCTTTAAATTTACCCGTTATTTTCAATTTGGAGCCATTATCAAGTTCCAGCTGTTCTTGAAGTTTCTCCAGCCTCCTTCGACTTGTCCTCCCAATAACTGAATGTGCTCTGTCCTGAACAAAGTCCACCTCAAATGGTTGCTTGAAGTCAGTCACATCCTCTGTTGATGGAGCAGGTCCTGTTGGACTGTCCAGCAACTCCACCTTTATCTTTTTCACTTTTGCCTTTGTTTTTAACTTCGGCTCTTTCACATGCCTAGCAATTCCAGACTTTGTTTTAGACCATGAAGAATACTTTCTTCTCTCCTGTTTACCATGAGTTGTATCAATTCCATAATCTCGGGGTAAATGTCCTTCTCGAAGACAGTAGTCATGGTCATGATGAACCGAACTTGTGTCAGCAAGCCCAGGCTCTGTGCTATTTTGTAAACCCCCATTGCTTATAGTACTGTCACTGCAGTGAGGTGGTCCCAATTCATCTTGCACCTCAGACCCTGCGTCCGACCTTTCCCAGTCTCCACAAGGAGACTGCAGGAAGGAGGGTAGTCCAGGAGATGGAGGAACACTCATTGGAGGTGAGCTAATTAGTCCTTTGTCAAAGTACGGAGAGGAAAGTGTGGAATGATCCTTTGACACATTTAATCGGAAATTTTTACTCCCAGTTGCAGGGCTTGAATTGTCACTTTTAATATTGGAGCTACTGAATGATGCAAATGTTCCTATTCTGAACTTGCCAACTTTTGGAGGAATCTGTCCATGAAGACTATCTACGCTGCCAATAGGTGAACTAAGTCTGCTATCACAACCATCACTAGAACTAAAACCCTGAAGTGTTTGCTGCTGCACAGTAGAATCTGGGTCCTTCTCTGTTAGGGGCAAAGGCGTCAGTTTAAAGGAAGGAAAGTCTGTCATAGAAGAGTCTACAGATGATGTAGGAGATAGAAGGGATGGTTCTCCAGACATATGATCACTATCTTCATGTTCTTTCACAGGCAATGTCATATGTTTATCCTCAAAACCGAATCTTAGACACACACTTTCTATTGACATGCTCCTTGCACGATGTTCTACTTCTTCAGTCGAGCTATTTTCTCCACAAGAATCGGATTCTGCCCCTGTTTCTGTGTCATAATAGTCTGTGCTTTGTCTTTCAGTCACCTTTCCTGGTTGAGAGGCATATGAGTGGTCCGACTCAACACTAGAAGCAGGCCCTGAGGCATCACTGCTCTCCATTCTCACATCACAATCAGTTGTGTCCATTATACACTCCTCAGAGCTCTTGCTAGCATGCATTTCCATGGAAAAACTATCTTCTTGAACCTTTTCTGTATGACCAGTTGTCAAATATGTTTCTAATAAACTTGACTTTTCCTCATTATCAGTAGCATCCGAACAAGTCCTATCACTAACAATGGCAACAAAGCCGGACTCAGACTGCTCATTATCAATAACACTTATACTTGGTCCTGCAGCTGATCCCGAGACTGGTTCCTCAACAGATCCTGATGGACTAGCTGCCTCATCGTTCTCTGACACTGTCTGTTTCTCACAGATTGCACAAAGCTCACTAGGATCAGACACCCCAACAGCATAATCAGTCCTTGGCTTGTGACAAACAGGACAGCAAGCTGCTGTTGGTTCAGTCAAGTCAAAATCACTGACATTGTCATGCTTAAGCACACTTTCATCGACTTGTTCTAACTGAGCGGGCTCTGTCACACTCACATCACAAGCGTATGATTCTAGAGGAGAATCTTCAGATGTCTCTTTAACAGATGCAGAGTCAGATGAGTCATCATCATCTGCACTCTGAGCACCAGCTGGGTCAGATGGTGGTGGTGGTGGTGTTTGTGATGGACCTTCTGACACTTCAGAAGACTCCCCACAACCACTTTCACCATTGTCTAAACTGTCTCTTTCACATGATGTGTCATCAGACTCCTCCACCACCTTCTGTGAGGAGTCAGTTTTACTGTCCTTATGTTCAACAGACAAGTCTGTAATTATAGCACTGTCACTGTCACCTACTACCTCTCCCTCCGCACTCCATGAATGTCTCCTTATCGTCCTTCCAGGAGAATCCTCATCCACCACATAGTCAACACCACTTGACTTTTCACTGAACAACTTGCCTACCTCACTTGTGGGTAGGTTGCAAGAGTTCTGTCGCTTAATCTCACTACGTAATTTTCTAGCTGAGCCCATTTTGTTACTCTTGTTTGGATCCTCTTCCTCTGTAGACTCTTCTGTATTTGTATCATCACAGTTAGCCTCACTCTGAGTCTGGCCTCCTGATTGGTTGGATGACTTGGGGTCGTCTCTCTGCAGGGCGGCAGCTGCTGCCAGAAGGTCCAGAGGGTTGAAATCCATCATCCACTTGCCTTGTCCAGTCCTTACCCAACATGGAGATTAGTTGTGAGGCGAAAACTTCTAAGAATCTGAAAAAAATCAGAAAATTACAATTAAATAGTTGTTCCCAGAAGTATTTCATCACATATATGACTGAAAAATGCAGTAGTACTTAAAGTATTGAATAAATAAGTACAATGAGCGAAATCTTATTAGAAGACTCAAGACTCAAAGGGGAACTAGGCTAAAGCAAACTGGTAGTCCCAATAAGATTGAGTCAAATATTAAAATGACAATTTGTTCATCTGCTAACCCAAATGTTATGATGAATAGTTTGTTTTTTTTTTGTTTAACGCCTCACTGGGAAATATGACAGGGGTCGGTAAATAATCAAATCTGACCACCCAATCCCATTAATCACATCTAACAACAAGCATGGTTGCCTTTTACAGCATGCATGGGTTGCTGAAGACCTATTCTATCCGGATCTTCATGACCTACTATGTATAGCAATCTGGCAATTTTTCAAAAACAATATAGCCATAGCATAGCAATAATTACAACTTCTCGCATAGGCTGAAAACCATACATATTATGTTGTCACATTTTTAAGGGTGTGCCTACATACTGAACAATGGAAGTTTTAAGAGAATAATTAATGATAGCCAAACATAACTTTGCCAAATTAAAGCAAACCCAGCTACAGTCTGTGATTTTATCCACTCATCCGAAGGCTCAGTCTAGCAAAATTCATTCTGGTCTAGTAAGATCAGCTTATTCTAGTCCAGATACTAAGACAAATATTTACTAAAAATAATGCCCCAAACCATGTTTCGGCTGTTAGACTCAAAAAAGTATTTGGTACAGATTGCATCTCAACATACATAATGTTAATCATTCTTGTATCGAAATAAATAGGCATATGATATTATACATGCAATTCAAACTGGTCTTCAATTCCACAAATTATGCACTTGTTACCAATTACGTGTTTGTAAGTACAGGGGTAGAAACTAACATGTTTAGTCTACTAGTCCTTACAATGATAACATATAGCAAAACCCTTAAAAATGGCAAATTTCTACTAGTCCTTATGATACCTTCACTATTGGGCAGTTTGGCAAGGACTACAGGGCCTGTGCCAATTTCTAACGCTGAAAGAGAGTATTATGTCACTTTAGTCCAGCTACATCACAACAGTTCACCAAAAATTCATTACCAAAATAAAATATATCTTTCAGTCAAGATGAAATACCACCAGCTATTTCATCTTCTAATATACACTCTTAATCATGTTAATATGTGATACACTGGTACACATAAATGTACTGTAATACAGACTTTCACCATGCTGAAATTAACAAATTAGTTCAATACATTTGATAATGAAACAGAAGAAAGTCCATTAAATACTTGATAAAATCATTAACATATAATCATGAATATGATGCCATTTGTCTCCATCAAAATCATTGGATTACATTTGACATCATATTTTGTTTACCCTTTATGCTCTCCAATCATCAAACTAAAATCCAAAATAATCTGACAAAGATCAGTTGGTACAAATACACATACATTGATCCTCCATATCAACCACCAACAAGCAGAAGGGCTTGAACAACAAGCCTAACCAAACACCCCGTCTAGCCTTGGTACGCTCCACAATAAACACACCAAGGGAGAGAACTCATCTTGACACACTCGGCTGGCTTTGTTCTTGAAACTCGCTCACCAAGCTAATCAATACTCAGGCCAGATTTCAAGTACGCCTCAATGAAGGAAGTAGGGACACTGGGCTGCCTCCCTTGCCAACTCACTAAACAGGGAGAGCCATGCAGCCCACATGCTTGCTGCAGAAAGCTTGATATAAGATAACACTGTGAGAGAAATCTCGGCAAGCATACAAGCACATCCACTATGTGACCTAAATGTAGTAGTTTCTGCATACAGCAGCCATTTCGCCATATGGTAACTCCTGATCTGCTTTTAGCACACATTCTCAATCTCTGGGATAAAACAGGCATTTGTGGGCTTTCTCTCAATCACAAAACATTCTCCCATCTTCAAATTGAGTTCATTGCAATTTCAAAGGGAGAGGCTGACACAAAACAGACATTATTACTGGTGCTGTGAATTTCATCAGTATTGCTAAAGCATTCAAGATTCCCATTATCTTGAGATATTTTTATTCAGTAAACCATCACTGATTTGCACTAACGTGCAATGGAGATTTGCAGAGCACATATCTGGTGTACATGCTTCCTCCAAATTAACGTCATAAATGCCAGTTGCAAATATGTGAACACTATCAAATTCAAAGATGGATCAAAAACATTATGTATTGAATGGCAATAAGAGATAATGTCTGTTATCAGAATTTTTAACATAGCTTCAATGAAAATACATTTTTGTCAAATGTTTTTCACCAAAATTGGGATGAATTTCATTGGAAATAATCCCCTTAGTTTCCAGCATGTTTCGTATCTTTACCAGTCCAGGCCAATTCATTAATTTGTTGGCTTTTTTTTTGCAAAAAGTGATGGAACCCTACACCAAAACACATGAATTCAATAGTTCCATGAATCTTTTATCTGTAATGCTGTATTTGCTAGATCCCAACACTCAGGAACAACGATAGAAACATCTCAATAGTTGAGTATCAAGCCTGATAGTATAATATCATTTCATTATAAGAAAATATAATTATCACTCGGATCCCTAAAACATTCAATCAATTAGTGAGGGCTTATCTAAGATAAACAGTCCATAAAGTATTTTGGATCCACTAAATCCATGAAGACATCATTACAAGTCTACAGATAACAGTTCGAGATTTGAAATGAAACAGCAATTTTCTGCTCACCACCATATCAGGTTAATACTGATATATTAATAACCTTACCATGACTATTTTAAATTAAAGCAAACTTCAGTGAAATAGGCTCAAGTTTGGATCCTAGTGAATTTCTCTCCTATTTGGTCAGTGCCATTTGCTTGGTCAGTGCCATTTGCTTGGTCAGGCAGCAGGACCAGGCAGCAGGACCAAGCATGTAGTGGCCTCGCAAACCTCGGTAGTCACTCGACACAAACACAACATTTGCCAAACGTGTTTGGGCCGTATCTCACAGCAATGTTCACACAGATGCGCTTGATGGGCCACACCTGTATTCGACTGAATAGATTGTTATAGATAGGATGCAAATCAATTCTGACATAAAGCACATGTAGAAGGAGATCTCCCTTATTTAACTTGACAAGCTACCTGGCTTATCTCACTGCATATTCTACATGTAACATCATATTTTGTCATGAGTGATTACATACACTCGTGAGCACAAACAATTTCTCGATTCAAAATATTTTTTCAGATGATGTTCTCCATCCAATCATTTACCTGAAAGGTCATGTATATACAATAAAGACGCTGTTATCCTTAATATTCCCAAATCCTTACCATACATAATATTGACATTGAATTATACTACTCAACATTTGCCAAGGACCAACATTTGTCATCTTTAGTCAAAGGTGTGGTCCTTAGCAAATGTTGAGCAGTATGAGGCCAATCAAACTGATATTAACGCTTCAAAAAGATAAAACGTACTGAATAAAGAGTATTAAAAGGCCAAAAAGGTTCGGGTGATAACTATTTACTCAATGTCATCTAAAATACATGCACCAACCAGAAACTTCACAAATACCCAAAATTGAATATTTCACAGATTGACCAATGAACACGATGAACAAAAGAAAATTTCAGATTTTATTCAAACTTCAATCAAAAAAGTGAAAATAATCTCACATAAAATCTCTGACGAGTCACATAATCAACAAAATTAACCAACCAACCAACATTACCTTCTGAAAGCAGCGTAACAAGTTATTAAAGCCTCATAAGAAAAACAAGACAAGATATACTGCATGTTAATGGTGTCCCCATGTACAAATCAATGACATTACGGGCTTTGTCTTGCAGGCCTGACTGAAGAGCTCACCAAGGCCCATACAATATTCATTGCCAACAGTCTCTCCATCTGATCAATACAGGCCTACGATTCAGATTTACACAAAACACCCTTTGTTTAGGCCCAACATTGATCCTGGAGGCCTGCACATATATGAAGACATGCTACATTGGACAGGGAAAGTCAGAACAAAGTCACAGTCAGCACACCAGCATCTCACATGATCAGATGTTCATTTGCACACCGTTTGGGGTTAATGGAAATTTCTTTTCTCTTTATTACATTACGGAGAAACAACTGTAATTATGGTAGACTGACAGAGTGGATTACCTTTGTGAGGTATAACCATTGTTGTTATTAAAAAGTTATTTCCCTTGATGAATTTATCAGGGCTTTCTCATCAAAAAGGTTATCAAAACATTCACAGGAAAACAGGACTGCAGATGAAAACAAAGCAAATGGACATAAAATAGCAGCAAATTCAAACAGCTGAATTAATCTCTTTCTTCAGCAAGACAGCTCTTAATACTTCATGAAATGCAACAGCAAAGTGTCGCACTTAAAATCAAACAAGCGATCACAACAGAGAGTTCAAATTTAAACCTGAAAGTCAAACGGTCCTTGTCATAGCCCTAATGATAGACTTAGTGGTCCTCAATTCATATACAATTGCCAAATTCCACAAGGACCCCTGACTCCACTTAATTTCTACCACTGCAACTAGAATGTTGGTGATGTTGACAATAACAATCACTGCAGCCTATTACTTTATCAACTGGAATGAGTTGAATTCAATGCGAAAATTCAAATTGCAAATTGTAACGTTCGTACACTACTCTACTCTCACAAATACATTACACATGTCACAAGCAAATCCACATATCTCTAATCACACCAAACTTAAATCTAACAAACAGTGCCACCAGGGCTAGTGTTACAGTTATGTCGGAAACACTGAGATCAAATATTTAGCATAGCCTGGTCAAACTCCAAATCTCCCAAACTAAAACAAAGATTATTCCAATGACGTCCTAGGCTGTTCTTTTCCTGGACGTGATAAAGAGGATTAACAGACCAATATGTCCTGTGAAGGCTAGGAGCAATGTATCAGCACCTGACTA